TAGAACAAGTTACCAGTAAAAAAATCTGAAAATTCTGAAAAAAATATATGTTAAACTAGAGAACTTTAGCTATTTTTGAGCTAAAAATAAAAAATATTTATTAGTAAAATTAAAAATTTTTATATGTAAGGAAAAATATGTATTTTACTAATTATAATTAGTAAAAAATTTAAGCGTTACATTATTTTTTATTGTTACTGTATATATAATTATAATTAAAAAATAATATTTAAATTTTTTACTAATTATAATTAGTAAAATATATATTTTTATTATATATAATAGTTTAAATTTTTATTTTTTAAGCTAAAAACAAAAAATATTTATTAGTAAAATTAAAAATTTTTATATATAATAAAATATATATATTTATTAATTATAATTAATAATAAAAAATTTTAAGTATTATTTTTTTTATTATTATTATAAGTATTAATAAAAATAAAAATATAATATTAATATTAAATAAATTTAGCAAAAAATAAAGTAATTTTGATTAATCTTGAAAAATATTAATTATTTTTAATTAATAATTTATTTTAAGTAATTAATTATATTAATTTTTTTATTTTATTTTTATTTTATTTTTTAAAATTATAATATATTAAAATTAAATTTTTTTATAATTATATATTTAATACAAAAATATTAATATATCAGTAAATATTAATAAATAATTTTTTAAAATAAAATAAAATTAAAATTTTATTTTATTTAATTAAGTTATTAAATATTAAACATTTAAATATTAAAATTTTTATTATATATCATTTATAAAAAAATTTTACTAATAATAAACTTTTTTGAATTATTATTTCTTGAATTTTATTATATAAAATTTAATTAAAATTAATATAAAAATTATATAATAAATAATTTAATTATTAAATTTTAAATCTTAATATTTTTAAAATTATTAATTTAGTTTTTATTAAATTTAAAATAATCTACTTATATAATTTAAAGTTTTAATATTGTAAATTAATAGTAATAATAAAATATTTTTTTTAAAAAAATAATTTTATTTTAATTTTTTTAGTAAAATAATACTTTATTTATTATTAAATTAAAATATAATAGAATAATTAAAATAGTATAAAAGTTAATTTAAATTATTTCTTATTTAATATAAAAAAATTATTAAAATTAATTAAAATTTGAATAATTTTTATTAAAAATAATTATTAATTTTATATTTATATAATTCTGATTTAGCTCTTTAAGTAAATATATTCAGAATATAATTTTAAATATATTTGTATTTTTTTTTTGATAATAGTTTATTAAGTAATAACTTATGAGAATTAGCAAGCAAAAACAATAAAAAACCATTGATAATTGACTTTTGATCGCTAAATATAACATATAATAAGATATTTATAAAGTCAATATATATTTAATATTGAAAGTTTATTAACTATATAAAAAAACAAAGTGCACGAATTTAGGTAAGTTTACCTTATGTATATAATATATCAATTTTCTGGATCATTCGATTCGTTAAAAAATTCCGCAATTAATAAAATAAATAAATCTTGCCCACGATACAGCAGCACGAGAAAGAAAGAGAATAAACAGGGAGAGAGGAAAAAGAGATCCCGTTTTGAATTCTATTGATTAATTAAATATCTTTCCAGCCATTACTGCTTTTATTATCAACATAACAATATTATCTATCCCAACGTTTTGTATATTAAGTACATATTATATATATATATATTTATATATTTATTGTTATATATATATATATATATATATAATTTTTTGCGCGACTTCATCCCGTAAAAAGCCCATCTTCCATACAGGAAAAAAAAAACGCCCGTTTTTCTGTAATGTTTTGTGATTGTGTATGTAGTCAGTCCAGTCAGTCCGAGATCCGGTAATGAGACTCCAGCAGCAGCAGCAGCAGTAGCAGCACCATCAATATCTTCTTGCACGCCTATGATTAAATCGATCCGGACAAAAGTTTGTGGATCCAGTGTCAGGAGGAAAGACACAAAAGAGCAAAAAAGAATTGGTGAGCAACAAACTGTTATAAAAATAGCCATGCACGCTGCCAACAAATAATAGCAGCATCAGCACAGTTTCCCAAAAAGAATCCCGCGCCTGAGTTGCCTCCCGAGCCAGAAACTGAGCCACCATTCTCTATCCATCTATCCTATCCTGTGTGGCATCCAGTACCAGTTTGTCCAGCAGTGTAATAAATAATAAATAATAATAATAATAATAATAGTAATAATAATAATAATAATAATAATAATAATAATAAAAAAGAGACAAAAAATAAAGAGGACGGGAGTGTGTGCACACAAAAAGAAAACAAAGTATAACAGCACTCAACGATTCCGGGTCTTTTACTAAACATACCCATACGGACTCGGGCTTGGGCTTCTCTTGCTTGAATAGTTTTCATACGCATAAGGGCTTGGACTCCGCTTGCTATTATAATATGGACTCCTCGACCGATTTCTACTGCCAGATGCACCATACGAGCCACCACCGTATCCTCCGGGAGGTGATCGTGAATATCGACGACTATATCGTTCGCGATCATTATAATCATCATAATATCCACTCCGATGATGCGGTGAACGGCCTCGACTATAACGACTTCCAGAAGGCCGACGATCATAATCACCGTCACCTCTATATAAACAGGAGAAATCATTTAAGTGTTTTTTCGTGCATATACACATATATACTTATTTTCAATTATTTATTACCTGCAGTATTTTGCTAAATGCCCAATCTCACCACATCTAAAACAACGTCCACTTCTTACATCCATTCCCTTTTCTCGTGCATCGGGACATTCTCTAGCCCAATGACCTTGACCGCCGCACAAGAAACATCCACTACCAGGACCTCCAGATCTACGTGACCATTCTACAGCAATTCGAGCGCCATCAAGCTCATAGCCATTTAACTGTTTTACTGCGTCGTCAGCATCTCGAGGATCCTATTTAAAATTTTTCAAAGTATTAGAATCCATCTAAATCATTCCAAACTTTTTTTTTTGCAAATAGCACAGCACGTTTTACCTCAAATTCCACAAAAGCATAGCCCATTGGTTTGACGTCAACGCTTAGAACTTTGCCATACCTTTCAAACTTTTATCGAAAAAAAAAGTAGATTCGATAACTGAAATTTTTTGTATTGCAGGGATTATATGAAAAGAGTACAAACCAGTTCTTCTAAGTCTCTTTTTTCCGTCCTTTGTGCTAAATGGCCTATATAGACTTTATAAAATTGGGCGTAGTGTCAACAATAAAGACTGCTCATGTTTTCAAGCTAATCAACGAGAGAACTAAAGCTATTGCTTACGTTTACTTGGTGTTGACATTGTGGTTGTTTTCAAAATTTTCGTAATAAAATAAGGGGAATAGTAAAATGTTAATATTTATATTCACCAGCACATGACCTCAATTATAATCATTTTCTCGGAATCCCACTTTCTTATTCATAACTATGATTAGTTCTAATTACATTTCCACATTGGGCGCCTCCAATAATAATGAAAGACGAAAGGCCACCAAAGCTAGAGCAAAAAACACAACTAATAAAAAGAAAAACCAAACCAGTCACAAGCGTGAATTATTAAAGAAGAGTCTTGAATCTCGTAAAGAGTTTGAGAATCTCACTACAACATGGCAAGAGAAGCTTTTTGAGCCAGTAGATATACCATTACTCCAGGAATCGGTTTGTTCGAAAGGATTCTCTCTTTTTTTACCTGTTGATGTCTTAAGCGTCTTTAGATTTTAACATACCCTTGATTGTCAGACCAAATACCTGCAGCCTTCCCATTATTTTGAAGTGGTCGAAGAAAGAAATGCGTATAACCTATGCGGCTTTCCCATTTGTAATAAATCCCCTCAAGTAATGAACATTGAACTTTCGATCGCTTGATTTGTTCCTTTTGTTGTTGAGCGAACTAAGAAATTTCAAAAAAAAAATTACAGGAAATTGAAGGACAATATCGAATATCCCTTCGTGCCAGAAAGATATATGATGTTTCGGAACTAAGATGTTACTGTTCTGATAGATGCTTACTGGGTTCACGCATTTTTGCCGCACAATTATCCGTTGAGCCTGTGTATATGAGAAATTTTCAAACATGGATTCCACCCGAGGTTTTGCCGCTAGACGTTGATATTAGGTAAGCGTATAATGCATGTTTGTATGAGAGATAATTTACGTTTGATAATTCTCGGCAAAAATTTAAATTATATTGTAATGATAATTAAAATAAAAAATGATATTGCAGAGTCTCTAATTATGAACTTTTGCAATGAAGACAGATAATGAAACAGAGAAGGCAGGAAGCACAGGCATCCTCGTTTGCTAATAGACAAAGAGATTACATTAAAACGTTGTTGGCAGAACTTCCACCCGCACCTCCTGGACTCGTGATCCAAGAAAAGATTACTGACAAGGATGATGGTAATAATAGTAGTATGGATACTTCAACAAATCCAATGACATATATTCATGATTCTGTTGAAGGATACCGGATAGAATTCTCGAAAAAGAAAAATCAGCAGGATAAAAAAGCATCAACAATACCAGTAAAACCTACTACTTTGGTGCTTCCTAAAGAAAAAAGTGTTGTCACTGCTATTGATGCTAAAGAAAAACAACAACAAGAAGAACGGCAGAAACAACAAACAGTTCCTTCATCGGATCTCAATTCTCTTACAAATGAGAACAATAACAGCAGCAATAATAAGCCAACTAGTGAAAGTCCAATAGTGGATTTGAGAATTGTACCCGTTTCTCAGATAACTCAAGATGAAAAAGAATCTGTTAATCTTGTTAATAAGCGAAAGAAACAGAAAAAGATAGTTCCAAAGATGTCAATGTTTGGCAAAATATGGACCGCATTGGATAGGATGACCACTCAAGAGACACGGTTTTATTTCCATAAAATGAGAGATTCATCGTTAGTGAGCGTAAACATGAAAGAAACGACGAATAAAGTTGTCGCCTCGAGCGAAGTCATAATGCGAAATAATATATTCAGTGAAAAGATTATTGAAAGGTTTGTTAAATGTTTTTAATTTATGATTTTATTTAACTATAATTAAATGAGTTTTGAATTTCCTTTCTAGCTTCCATTATCTACAATCTCACCTATCAATAACCACCAGTATTGAAAATGAACTGCTTGATCTCATACGTACTTTCACGATTGACAATTCATCAGTAATTCTTAATGATGTTGAAAATAATGTTCTTTGCTTGGTTTTTATCTATGCGTGAGTTTATATATATATATATGTATGCGTGTGTGTGTGTAAAATTTATTTCCTTTTTAATTTATATGGACCAACTGTTGATCTATCTCCCTGCATGTTATACAAATAATGAAGTCTGTCATTAGAGATTCCTCAACTACACCGAAATATTTTCACATCGCCGGTATCTCGTGCACCATCAAAATCAATTGATGATGATGATGATGATGATAATGGTCAAAGATTCAAAAATCTAATTGGAAGTATGGGACTCACAATTGAGGAGATGGACGCATTTGTTAGAGTTGTGCGTGTTGCATCAACGTGATTGTAATTTACCGAGTAGAGGTTATTTATATAACTATTGAGTTGAATGGTAATAAATATTTGATTGTACAAAGATATGGAATTACTGGACCAAAATTCATTTCGAAATCTTAAATCATAATTTATAAATCCCGTGATCAACACTACATAAAAAAATATTTTTTTTACAATTATTCGGTTAATTAATCTTTCAAAAACTCGAATCTCTCATTTCTTGCTAGGTAAGCATTTAGGAAAAGAATAACCATCCATCAAGAAAATACAGTTTTTCCTGTTAAAAACAAATGACGTACATTAGATATTCTTGAATTATTTCGTTTATTCATCATAAATATATGTATTTTTTAAAGAAAAATGAGAGCAAAGTGGAAAAAAAAGAGAACTAGACGTCTTAAGCGTAAGAGAAGAAAGATGCGAGCTCGTTCTAAAGTATGTTCCTTTTTTATTAGTTTCTCGTTATTTTTTTTTACATTTTATCTAAATTTCCCAATAATTCTTCCATTTTAAGTAAACCATGTGTGCGTACGGCCGAGACGAGAATGCCAATTACTAGTTAAGAATAAGCAGTCTCGAGCCCAGACCTCTATTACACGCACACATACACGCGAGGAACAAGTTCAAGAGAAATAGCATATTGTTCGAATTTTTTAATATTTATTTTTTCACAAATACCGCAATAATAATTTCTCAAAGCACGCATTTAACAAATAACATCAACGATGATGAAACTGTTGAAATTGTTTACACAAAAATGAGCGATTACGACATGTGCATAAAAATATTCCTCAAGCCTAATTTTGCGTATGCTAATCATTTTCTAGCAGTTTTCCGTGCTTCTTCAGTAGGTGGTAACAAAGTCCTGAATCGACCCTGCATCCCTTCAATAAAAGTTCCTAGAAACATCGCTTTCTTGTCTATAGAATACGAATATGATGTATTATTGTCAAGTAGAATGTTCATTGATTTCACCGTTTGTTCGATCGATTCCCTTTGCCGCTCGTTTATTTCCTTCAACACAGTTTCGAGACTCGGTGATAGGCTCAAATAGCGAAGATAATCACCACCAATTATCTCCAATTTTAATCCAGTACGCTCTATCGGCGATAGTTTAGCTGCTGATTTCAAAAAATAATTTTTGACAGGGGGATATTTTGAATCGAATTGTGACCAGTCAAATTCTGTTTTTACGGTACTTGTGAATTGCAAGTTTTCCGGTGATGCTAGTTGTGCATGGACTCGGAAACTTGTGGGTCTTCGATTTTGACTCTGACGATTCATACCTCCGCCACCACGAAATTGGTTACGATTGCCTTCAGTTGGTCTTCCTCTATTATCATATCCCCCTCTTCTTGGATATGTGTCCCTCGTCCTGTCATATTGAATCGATGCTGGCTGATCAAAAGTTCCCGACATTTGATTTAGACGTTTATTGCGTGTCCATTGTTTTTGAGCTTCTCCGGAATCCATTGCATCAGAAATTGGTTCAGAAAAGTCCGGGAAAAGTTCTGCTGCTTTATTTCTATCCCATTTCCAAACGTTTGATGAAATTTTATTCTTTACAGTGGGGTCCAATAAAATGGGTGAATCATCATTAGATCCATCAATACCAATTGTTGGATATTCCCATTTCCATTTTGATTTGGTGATTATTTCTAAATCATCATCATCAGCAAATTTGTTACTAATACTACTACTATTATTATTATCACGAATAGCATTATCTTTAGATTGCTGATCCATTGACTCTTCTTTTTTGACATCACTTGAAGCTATGGATCCATCCTCAAGAGGCTTAGTCTTTAGCTTTATTGATTGTATCTCATCTGAGATGAATTGACGTCTGGCATGTGGAACAATAGTAGCTGAAGAGATTTTCTTTTTCCTAGCCGTTATCTTAGCTTGCCATGTTTTCTTCGCTTCATCGTCTTCATGTTCATCTGATCCTTCTTGAGTAACTGCAAGTTGATAAATTTCACTTAGAATTTCCTCTGCTGGGACCTCTTGATCTTGTTTTAATGAAACATCAGAAACAGAGGACTTTGGAAGGGCAATTGACGATGGCTGACTATCTATTTCTTTCTTTTTCTCTATATTCGTTTTTTCTTGCTCGTTGCTTGCAAGATCAGAGATAATCGACAACAATTCATCCGCATTCTTTTGTTTCTTATCAGGCCACGGTGACTTCATTGGAATACCTTTTGTCTTTGCAAATTTTTCAGTATTCTTCGAATCCATAATTGTACCTTTAACTAATGAGACTATCATGTCAGTGTATTGGTTGTCTCTACCTGATATTTTATTATTTTGTCTCATTTTCTGATATTTTGATTGTTGTGGTCTACCTTTAGATACAGATTCTTCTGCATCTTCAAATTGTTGTGTTGAGGAAAGAGGAGGAGGAATTGCAGTCTTTAAATTATTAGTAAGTTTCTCTAAATCCTTATTAAAAGGAGAACCCAAATTATTAAGTCTAGCATTGTCTACTTCTATTTTTTTTCGCGTTGCTGGCGAAATATCAAAAGTTTTGCCGGCTACGGTTATTGGCCCTGAATTAGACCCGCGACCTCGACCTCGACCTCGGCCTCGATCAGAGCCAGTGCTACCAGGAGTATTGGAAGACGCTGTAGTATATGCAAGGTTCTGAAAATGCGGCGGTTTTGAACCGCGTGGGTTTTGTTTCGTAAGCACCACCACTGGTCGAAACATGGTTTTAATTTTTCGAGAATTCAGATTATTGATCACATGGCAATATTGGGATTTATTTAAATGTAAAAATTTTTATTATATATCTTTTATAAAAAAATTTTACTAATAATAAACTTTTTTGAAATATAAAAATTATATAGTAAATAATTTAATTACTAAACTTTGAACCTTAATATTTTTATAACTACTGATTCAATTTTTATGAAATTTAGAACATATATTTATCAAATCTAGGGCAACCTGCTTGCATAATTTAAAGCTCTAATATTGCAAATTGATAGTGATAATATTTAAAATGTCTTTTTTTTTAAAAAAATAATTTTATTTTATTTTTTTTTTAGTAAAGTAATGCTTCATTTATTATTAAATTAAAGTATAATAAAATAATTAAAGTAATATAAAAAGTTAATTTAGATCATTTTTTATTTAATATAAAAAAATATAAAAGATTAGTTAAAATCTGAATGATTTTTATTAGAAACAATTATTAATTTTATATTGGTGTACCAATCTTTTTGCACCAGACCATATTTTGCAGAAAAAATTCACAGCCAGCGTTGCACAATAAAATAAATATAACAATAAAAATCAGAATGTCCTCTAGCTCATAAATTGATAATTTTAAACAATAACAAAACAATGTGTTTGAAATAATAATAATAATAATTGGCAAGCAAAAAAATCAGAGGAATTAGATAATTTTATTACTATAAATCTCTTTTTGAGTCCGGTTTCTTTTTAAACTCGATATATGTAGAATCGTCACTTGAATGTTGTTGAATACTGATATTATTCTCTTTATTATCATCATTTAACGAAGCCCTACTCAACAGCATCATCGGTAAATTGGAACTATTATTGTTTTTGTGTTGACGTGCTGGATCACTACTACTATATCGATGATGTGCGGACAACGGCGAATCTCCATCCAGACTATATTCTCGATGTAAAAACACATCATCTTCATCCGCGAACGCGTCACTTGTATTATCCAATTTTATATGCTCAAATCGTTTCTTGATCACTTGATCGACCAGCCAGAACTGTACAATGTTCATGATGAGTGGAAAAATTAACATGACGAATACGATTTGTAATTTTGGGTCGGATTCAGTCCAGTTTATTGCCCATGCACCGAATTTAAATAGGAATGGTGCAATTTGAATGACTAACACGATGATCATTTTCATGGTGAACAGGCTGACAAGGAATATTGCTAGTTGTTTGAGCCACCATGCGCGTCTTGGTGGCATGTCGTAGTCACCACTTCGTAACCCTTATTGATTTATTATTGGAATCAAAGCTCAATCTTTTTTTTTTCGAAAAAAAATTCCATAAAATAATTATTCTATTACCTTGTATCCCAAGCGAAGTCAGGCCCGTATGTAATAATTTGAGAAGTAAAAATAAAACAAAAACGCCTAATGTACAATCCATAAATATATTAAGAAAATACCTAAATGATATGACGTATTAAATAGGATTAGTATCAACTCATTATGTGACTTAAAAGAAAAATAATAATAAATACAAACCAAACACATGGATTTGTGACTTCCTGTTCATTTTTTCCTGCTATAAGAGAAGCAAGCAAATTTAGTCCGTGCATCATACATGCTCCAATGACTTGTTTGCTCACATCGAATAACCTTCGTTGTCAAAAGAAAAAAATGGGCAATTAATTTACAACCTTATGCCTAGAATTCCATGTCCTTCTTGCTTCAACGCTAAAAAAGCGGCCCACATACACCACCACGAAACCAAAGGTGACAGACAATTCCATACCAAATTTTAACAGGTCTCTGCGGTCGTTCACGATGTCGCTTATAAATTAATGTCGAGAATGCAATCGTACCCAACAGTATTTGTATGAGTATCGCGAATCTATCCAGTAGAGCGCATACTTTTTCGCCCATGACTTATTCTTTTATTTTTTTCTAAAATATATTTTGTAAACCTCGGAAGACTTTATCGTTATTATATGTGAGGTGTGATCGGCACAATTAATATGTATGCTATAGTAAACAAATAAAACGTAAATGTTATTTATTTATTATTTAATGTAAAAACTGGGAAGATTAGCATCTATTTAAAAAATTAATAAAATGTATATATTCTTTTTAAAATTAGTTTAAAAATGAAATTCATGTCATCGCGTAGATCACTATTCACGTGATCACCAATCTCGTGATTAGAGATAAATAGTAATGCCACGGGTTCGTGTGGAAGAATCTGCCAAGTTCTCTAGCCATGGCGAAGAAAAGTCCGTCCACGTGATTTACGATCCACGTGAAGTGTCCGGCAGGTTAGCAAAAGTTTCGTTTTTTGATATATCAGGAGTTCCGTTTTTGATAGATCGGCAGGTACCCCAAATTTAGGTTCCGTTTTTGATATATCCGCAGTAAAGTCACGTTTTCACTAATACCCAGCATTTTTTGAGTTTCGAATAAAATATTTTTTGCCTAATTTGTTCAATTTCGTACAATATTATTTTGACATTATACAAGATGGTTAATGAATAAATCATTACAATGATACAATGCAACTGTATTTCTAGCAAAGGACATTCATTATACTTGGGAAAGAAAGAGGATCGTGAGATATCATAAATGAGCTATGGTTATATGTCTGACATCATGAATATAGTCATAATTAGCTAATAATAACGCGACGGATAAACCTCAGGGCAATAATAAAAACGTGACTTTACTGCGGATATATCAAAAACGGAACCTAAATTTGGGGTACTTGCCGATCTATCAAAAACGGAACTCCTGATATATCAAAAACGAAACTTTTGCGGCAGGTTACCTGCCCGGACATTTCACGTGGATCGTAAATCACGTGGACGGACATTTTTCTTCGCATATTTTTATTGAAAATCCTAATCATTTATATTTTTTAATAACGATAACGATAATGGCCGACACAGAATTACTGGCACAAAAAATATTTTCAGTCAAAGGGAAAGTTGCTTTGGTTACAGGTGGAGGAACTGGAATCGGAAAAATGATAGCAAAGGGACTAGTAAGGAATGGTGCTCGAGTTTATATAGCTTCAAGAAAAAAGGAAAATTTGGATAAAGGTATCTATCCCTTATATTTCACGTAAAGTTGTGGAAAACTGACTATCTAATTTAAATTTTGTGCCTATCTTTGATTGTGTAAGCTAGATTTTGTCTTTACTATTGATATATGATTATAATAAACTTTAAATCAAAAATTTTATTTTATGCTTATAGCATTACAGTGGCAGCGGAACTAAGTGCATTAGGTCCTGGAGAATGTATTGGTATCCAAGCTAATTTAACCTCCAAGGAGGAATGCGAAAAACTCGTAACTGAGATAAGAAGACGTGAACTTGACGGGAAACTTCATATTCTAGTGAATAATTCTGGGGCGACTTGGGGTGCTCCATTGGATAAGATTCCCGAGAAAGCATGGGATCGCGTGAATAAATTGAATGTAACTGGAGTATATTATTTGACCATAGCGTAAGATGATTAAGATTTTTTTTTCTTTCTTTTATTGCCTTAAGACCTAACATGTTTAATTTTGGATATTAGATGTCTCCCATTATTGGAAAAAGCTAGCGTAAAATCCCGAGATCCAGCACGTGTCATAATTGTCGGAAGTGTTGTTGGTAAGATTTGTTTATTTTCTTTTGACAAAATTTTTCTGAAAGGATCTATCCGCTAATGCGAAATATAGGAATGATTGATGGTGACATTGCTGGATTGGTCTCTGTCTTTGGAAATACTGCATTACCTTATAATGTGTCCAAAGCTGCTTTACATCATATGGCAAGAGGATTAGCTGTTTATCTCACGTATAAAATAATATTATTTTTTATTTCTCAGTTAAATTTATTAGATTTACTCTAAAACAATTATATTTGTAGGCCACGCGGAATTACTGTAAATGTGATTGCACCTGGCGTTTTTCCGACACCAATGAACAAGCATCAAGATGAAACCATCTGCTTATCCGAGATCCCATTTGGTATTGTTATTTTGTTGTCATAATTTAACAGGGGACTTGAATCTAACATTTGGATTCATTTTATAGGGAGATTAGGAATTGAATCTGATATGGCTGGTATTGCTTTGTATTTATCTTCCAGTGCAAGCGCATATGTTTCCGGTGCTATTATCCCGGTGGATGGTGGTTTAAACCTGAGACCGATTTCTCAGCATTCGAAGATATAAAAAGGGTTTTCATTTTTCCTCTAAATGAATTACGAGTCCAAGAAGAATTCACCACGACTTATTCCATGCTTAAAAGGTTGCTCACTATTAATAAATATAAAGAATAGGATTCAAAATAATTGAAGTCTATACAGTTTCATCTCCATATACTCACACTCTTTGGTTGTTTATATAATTATATTTTCCCTTATTTTCAAGCTTCTGTTGATTGATCAAAATCTACCATGGCAAGAATAAAGCCCCTGAACTTCACATTTAGATTTCAAAAATTCGCAAAATTAAATGTGTGCAATACCTTCAAAGAGAAATGATTTGTTAAAAAGTAATAATTGATGGTTTTCTTGAAGGATGAGTACGAGTTGGGAAATTGAGAAACCAAATTTCCTGGATGAATATGTTCACTCTTTATTGTGGCGATGCAGATTAAATTATGGAAATGGTGGCATTGTAAGACACGTGGATTATATACCATTTCGGAAAATCCTGCTATGGGGATTATGCCCAATCCGAATAAAAACCGACGCGTTCTATCGTTCTATTCAACATTAGCTTTTTCCAACTAAACCATAATTAACAATGGGAGAAGCAAAATCTATTCAATTTGATCAAATCTATTATGAACCTAACTCAGAACCTGGCGTATTGAAACTCGCGCCTATAGGTTTAGGTTGGAAAACTACGTTAACAGACACAATATTAACCGTTCCATCTGAGGATTTTAAAAAGATGCAGTGGATTCATGTGGCACGTAACTATCAACTAAGAATTCAACGTAAAAACGGTGACGCTTTGAAATTTGATGGGTTTCTCAAAGATGTGAGTGTTCTAGGTGGAATTGCAAAACCTGTGATGGAATGGGAGCATGATTTTGTCGATTGAGGTTCGGTTCTTGCATTTTTCTGATTTTCTGGATTATTCGGTTTTTAGGATTTTGATACCCTAAGAGAATTAGTAAAATCAAATTATCGATTGAATCTTGAAATCAAAGAACTTAGTGTCAAAGGCTGGAACTGGGGCAAAACTGATTTTCAAGGTGAATAGGTCATATCCGAGAAACATGAACATGTCAATATTTAATTACAGACTGAAATGGTAATGCTGAAATCTAAAAAAAATTTGCCCCCAAAGGTTCTCAATTACTCTTTAATGTGGGCAACAAGACAGCATTTGAACTTCCCTTAAATCAGGTTGCAAACACCAATCTTGCGAGCAGAAATGAAGTCAATTTGGAATTCATGCAACCCGAACAAATAGATGAAGATGCACAACGTGGCGCATTAAAGACTCTGGTGCACGAATTAGTAGAAATGAGATTTTATATCCCGGGCATGGTGATAGTTGCCGGTGGTGATGAAGATGAAGAAAAGCAAAAGAAGGCAAAGAGTAAAGAAAATGGAGCGACATCGGAAAAAACAAATGAGGAGGAGGAGGAGGCGGAGGAGGAGGAGGAGGAGGAAGAAGAAGGAATTGCTGAGGAGATTAGTGCTGCTTCTGTAAGTTTACGACTTTTTTTTAGCTATTGTTGATATATATAAATTATATAATGTAGAAATTATTCATGATTTTCTGTTATTTTTTTATAGATGTTCTATGAAACTGTTAAAGAAAAAGCGGATCT